GCTAAGGCGTGGCATGGAGGGTCTCTTGGAAGGGGCAGGACCAGAAGCAGGGTGTTTTGGTAGCCAAGTGGTGGTCACTAAGCTGAGATCTAGGGCAAGTAGAAGAGGTAGAGGGGAAGGAGGAAATGGAGAATAGAAAGTTTTGGAAAATTAAATCAACGGATTGTTTAATTGTTTGCTTTTGAAAAATGGTAAAGAACCCCCCCCCCCCGCAGGTTTTGGTTTGAGTAACTATCACCACTGGGGAAACAACAGTGTGGCAGAGGAAAGGGAACGTGAGGAGCCAGCACTTGGCCTTGGGAATCCTGAATCCTGTTGCACGCGAGCACCTACATGAGCAGGTTTAAGGGACAGGAGGACAGAGACACGCACAAAACTGACAGGTATCATAAAAAACTGAATGGTATCTAAACGAAGGATCTGAAGTTTGGGATGACATTCAGTTTAAATTCAACAGAATTTACATTAAAATTTTTTTTTAGTTACTACTCAAGAGGTAAGCTCATGAAAAGATTAGGCAAATTATAGGCAAAACGTTCAACTTTTATTTTTCAGTCCATTTGAGTTTTATGAGCAATTTGGTTGCCCCCACCACTAAGTAAAAGTATTTAACATATCATGAATAAATAATGGTGACTACGATTATTATTACTAGTGAGAATTTAACATCAACTTGGGATTGGAGAAAAAATATGAGATACAACAATTCTTGTTTTTACAAAGGGTCATAAAATCCCAGGTATGAATTTCGCAATTAACGAATATTCTCATAATTAGGTTTCTAGTAGATGGAGGATGAGAAGCATACACAGGTTTGAAATAAGAAGGGAGAACATTTCTGAAACAGAGGATTTGGCTGGCTCTGCAGCATCACAAAGAAACCAATGGAGACGACATGGAAAGGCAGGAAGGAATACTGAAAAAGGACGCACAAGAAGCCGAGGAGTATGGACTTCATCTTGTAGGCAGCGACTTTAAACATGAAGGCCTCGAACAGCTAGGGGTTTTCTGATTCTGATCATGGCATCTATGAGAAGACACACTGAGGCACAGAGAGGGTATAGTGAGAGAGGAGCAGGTAGGGGCTCAGGTGCTAGAAAGAGAGTAGGAGCAGATGGAGGAAAAGTCCGTAAAAATGTTGTCTGAGTCAGCGTTGGGATTGTGACAGGTGGATTTGCATATAATACGCTGAGGTCTCTACCTTGAGAAAAATATTCTCTTCATGGTGTACGTTCATTTCTCTTCAAACTCTCCAGTAAAACATTTCATCTATTTTTCACGAGAAAGAGGAATGATTGGCACTTTTAGTCTTTGTGTTTCTCATCACTAGATAAGTGAATTCAAACCATGTCATTGTTATCATTGGTTTTCACGTAGAATATTAATCCTGAACTAAATATTATTCTCCCCAGCATAAGTTAGGTCTTTTTATCATTCTTGATTCCATTAACATCACTGGTGATACCAACATTGGTATTTAGCTAATTATTAATAAAAGAAAGGGAAGCAGAGTTTAATAATTGGGAGCATGAGCCCGTTACCTTCGCCAGGAAGCTGTAGGTTCACACTCTCTAGAGGACCACAGCATCGCTCCACCAAGGGGACTAACACTTCTCCCCTCCCCACTCTGGTACCAGATTGCTGTGCAGGGAGGTGGGGGGAGGAAGCAGGGGAAAGAAGGCACATGAACAACCCGAGTCAAAATGGAGCAGGGGGAGGTGCTTGACCAAAGAGGCCTGTCCGTCTAACTAGGGGGTGGGCCTATCAAAAGCCCATCAAAATTTGGGGTTTTCATTGGCCAATTTGAAAAAAACTTCTGGTCTTTTCCAAGCCTAAACCAATATAATCCCAGGGGAATAAAGAATCTTGCTCTCTTTCTCACCCAATGACCTGCATTCACATGGTACACATGCCTGTTCTCTCTGTGGTTCTGTGGCCCAAGCACCATAGCCACGGGGTCTCCACCCACAGACCCCAGGAGAGGGTCTCCACCCACAGGCCCCAGGAGGGGGCCTGAATACTTCAGCACAGCAATGGACTGCAGCTGGAAACACATGCCCAGCTGGCCGGATGCTGGACTGGACTGAAATGGTCTTTGATATGGAAACTCTGAGCAGTGGCCTTCCCCTTGGTCCCCTTGGTCTTGCTGGAGACAAGATTAGACCTTTTCCATGGCAAGACAGGCAGAGATGGGACACTGGGAAGTCAGGAGGAAAAAAATGCCTAATTTTTATATCATCAATAAAGCTTACCGTGGAACCCCATCTTTCCACGCAGGTCTCAGAAAATTCTTTTTCTTGTGACACCTCAAGAACTTCACTTCCATGGGTAACGGAGACTTTTCTTTTGGTTGCAATGCTTACATTTATAAATATTTATTTAATGAATATGCCTTCATAAGTGGCCTTGAGTTCAAGTTAACAGTATTGGAACATTTAAGAGTGAAAAAATGAAAACCCACACTCCAGAAGTGGTGATTGTACAAAAACTCAATAAAGTACATATAATTTTTATTCATTGGTTCTTCTTAATTAAAAAAAATTAAGATTTAGATTAGATGCTCCTGATTAGATTAGTTAGGCCTACTTGGTGGTGTTTCTCAGTGTGTTAAGCTGAAGTGGCTTTGAGAGGTACATGTTTCATGTATGCATCAGTACATACCAATTTCACATTATGACTTATGGCCAAGTAATTTTCTTTACCTTCTAGAATTCCCTAAGCAGCCTGACAAAGAATTTGGCTCCAATTTTTATATAGCCTTTAAACACAGTTTTACTTTAAATTGGGGAAATGTTCTCCTAGAAAAACTTTTCTTCTGTCGCGCAAAAGCCATTTTTCAATGAATTCCCTAGAGCATTCATTCTCTAACTTTTTGGTCCGGATCTGGCGTTGTGCTTACATGTGTGCTGTGCACGTTGTAAAGTTAGACTCAGTGAACGATAGCGAGGTGTTCGTGCCTGCTTCTGCATTACGTCTATTGCACTATGTTCTGTTAAGTACAGGGGGGAAAACTGGCTTTACCCAGATAAGGAGTTAGAAAAGGATAGTGTATTTGAATAAACTTTTCAGCTGTGTATATATATTCTTTCATGCAACACAGAACTTGGCAATTCATGTTTTCTTGAAGGTTAGTTGCAATGTAGAATCTGAAAACATAGCACTATATTTTTTTATAATCAGTTACATGATACTCTATTAATCTATCCTGCACATTGAGTGGATCCTTTTTATCCATGGGTGATTTAGTCAGGCGTGCATTGGTCATTTAAAGAGTACCGATTCACTATGTTGTGAGGATCTTCCAAGTGGGCATACATTTCACGATTCAATATTACTGTATGTTATGTGGGCTCTGAAAAACACCACTGTATAACACAGGAGAGGGGGTGTTGAAGAGGCAAAAATGTCTTGACCCTCCCTTGATGTGTGAAGGCTTGGGTACTGTGCTTGGAAAGTTAATATTCTAGGAAAATTGGCCTTTTTAAAAATAGAAAATGAAGCCATTGGCAAAGTTTTATCTTTGGCTCATTTACTTTCTCCCTTCATGTTTACTAATACAATAAAGACAGTAGGCATTCGCAGGTTTAGGAAGCCCAATGGGAGATGTCTGTGAAGGCTGAGTATGTACGTCCGTGCTGGTGTTCCATACCTCATGTGAAGTCTCATGATTTGTACATACGGAAATCACATCACATAGATTGTGCAAGCTCTCATTTCAGCCTGACAAGCCTAACAGGTATTGTTATCCATGCAGTATAACAACAATATGTGAGAGAGCTGTTGTGTAAGACAATATTTCTTGAAAAACATTAGAAATAAAGAGAATTCATTGTGCTCTATGCAGAGAATAAATAGGAAAGGACACAGATAAAATATATGACCATAACTCCTTTAATCTGTTAGTACTTTAAAAATACTCCTTTTCCTTAGAGACAAATGAAAGCTCCGTATTGATTTTTTTAAAGCATACACAAATGCATAGGAGCTGAATTATTCAATAAGATATTTTGTCTCTAAAGGAAAAGAACAGATACAAAGTTTGCATGCCTAGTTTTTGGTTTACTGTTCTGAGAACAAGAGACTCATGTATTTCCAAAAGAAGGAAATTTGTTAAACCAGTGAGAAAAATACTTTCTATAGTTTTTAGATTGGTTCTCTTTAAAACAATTTTTTTATCTCTAGTGTTGTCTTTGGAAAACATTATATTTCTAGCTATATAAATCTTTTCAAAAGAAGTTTTGAGAGTCATTTAACCTGCTGGTTTCTAGGCTTTTGTATTTTATGGAATTTATTATAATAAATGACATTTAATACCAGAGAAAAAGAGATTTGATTTTATTGCCAACTCCATATATTGTCAAAAAGGAAATTAAAAACTAATAAACAAGAAGCAAATAAAAATTTATTATATATCATCATTAATCATAACATAAAGTATTTTTTAATACAAAAAAATCCAAAAAGACAGTGTTGAATGTGTAGAAAGGTTAATATTTTATCTCCATTTCTCTCAGCCCTGTGTGCACTTTATCATGAGAGCTATGATCAGAGTTTTTGAATCGCTAACCTAATGCTCTGTGGAACTCACCCAGAAAATTTCTTCGATTTTAAAAGATCAGGGAGAGTTTTCTAGAACAGGAAAACCTTTGCTAAATATAAAATAAATTCTAATTTTTAATACCCCCCTTTTGCTTCCAACACTTCCATTCTCCCACTGAATGAAGGGAAGGGTAAAAATACGTTACAATAATTTTTCACAAATGCTTATTTTTATTTCTGTGTACTTGGCAACTTCCCATGCGTACTCACATACCTGACTCACACATCACCTTCTTTAAAAAGCCTTCTTTTGTCTCCTTAGAATCAGTTGTCTTTCAGCAAGTTATATAGACCTGCACGGTAGAAATTTTACTAACTCTCACAATCTGCTTATCACTCCTATATGATAACTTGTTAGGTGTCAAATGCAGTTCATTTACATTTATTGTAATTTTTTATAGCAAGAGGAAAGGAGAGAGTTACCTACAAAGGAGTTTCCATATAACTATCGGCTGGTTTCTCAAAAGACACCTTACAAGCAAGAAGGGGCTGGAAGGAAGAATTTGAAGTCATGAAAGGTAAGGCCTATATCCAAGATTATTCTATCCAACAAAGCTTTCATTTAGAATGGAAGGGCAGGTAAAGCGCTTCTCAGGTAAGATCAAGTTAAAGGAGTTCATCATCACCAAGCCCTTATTAAATGAAATGTTAAAGGGACTTATCTACAAAACAGAAGAAGATCAAAAAATACGAACAGTAAAATGACAACAAACGATGACTATCAACAACTGAACCTAAAAAACAAAAACAAAAACTAAGTAAACAACAAGAACAGGAACAGAATCACAGAAATGGAGATCACATGGAGGGTTTTCAGTGGGGAAGGGGAGGGGGGAAGGTACAAGGAATAAGAAGCATAATTGGTAGGCATAAAATAGACAGGGAGAGGTTACGGATAATATAGGAAACAGAAAAGCCAAAGAACTTATATGTACAACCCATGGACATGAATTGAGGGGGGCAGAATGCTGGAGGATGGGGGAGTGCAGGATGAAGGGGGGGTAAAGTAGAGAAAAAAATGGGAAAATTGTGATAGCATAATCAGTAAAACATACTATATATATCGTTTTATTTTTACATCCATTTCACAATTTATTTTTACCTATTTTTTCATATTTTCTTTTTTTCCTCCTTTACTGCCTTCTTTTGGAATCACTAAATTAAAAAAATTTCATTTTCCCCCTCCAATGGTTTGAAGTTATAAACTATTATTCTTTGTTGATAATTTACAGTCTAAATTAATTCACACACACATACAGACCCACACACTAATTTTGAGCTTCCTGGAATATTTCCTTCATAAATGCAAAAAACACTACACTAGTTTTATCTTGCATGTTAACATCCATAATCAACCATTACTATTTAATTCTATTATTATTTTATTAAATGTTGTTTTTCTATATTTTCCATGACTTACTAATTACATTGCTTAACTTTTATATATATATATTTTTAATGCTTTTCTTCTTGCTTTTATTCTCTTTTCTTCTAAGGTTATTTATTATTTGGTTGAAAAGTGTTTGTTTTATCTTAACTCCTTAAACATAACTTCAAAATGTATATGGTTCTATATACTTAGTCAGCTATTTTCTGTTAGCTCTAAGAGGTAGTATTATACTCTCTTCCAGTTCTCATTTTATGCCAAGATGACAAGTAAATCTTTTATTTTTTCTTTCTCTTGCTATTTGTAGAATTTCTCTGTCCTTTCTGTTCTTCACCTTCATAGAAATGTGCTTGGAAATAGGTTTTGTTGCATATATCCTGCTTAGGGTTTAAAAATCTGAAGATTTCTGTCTTGCAGCCATTCTAGAACATTCTCAGCTATTAATCTCCTTGAATATTGCATTTCCCCCATTCTCTCTGCTTTCTCCTTTCCAGAATTCCAATTACATATTTATTAGGCTTTATCTTATCTTCAATTTAATACTTTCTTTGTAAAATACATTTTTATTTTGTTATATAGGCAATTTCTCTTTCTCTTTTCTCATAATTTATTATTTTCCCCCTCACTATGTTTTTCCTGCCATTGAAGTTATCTAGTACATTTCACATTAAAATTATTACAATATTATTTTAAAATGAGAATCTCTATTTTGTTTCTTTTAAAGCACAGTCTTTTACAGAATAGCACGCAAATGAAGTAGAGAAAGCAGCATAGTGTCTGGACTTTGAGGACCTCCAAACTCATCACTGATTTGTGCCTGAAAAGACTCCAGAGCATAGTAGTGGTAATAGGGGAGTGGTGAACAGAAGGGGCAGCTCGATTATGAGCCATAACAGCACAGGGTGTCCCCAGAAAAGAGGTGGAAGACAGAGACAAATAGCCACATGATGGTGGTTGCCATGTGGGCTCTAAGAAATTTTGTGCACAAGCAAATGTGAAGTGTTCTCTAGTGAGTGCCTCAAAACAACCATGAAGGGTAACATTTGCAGGAAGATTATGGACTCACAATAGCATGCAGGAGTGAAAATCAGTGGGTGAGTTATTATTATAATGTGCTTATTTAAAACCTAAGTTATCATTGTCTGAAGAAACATAAGCCATAAATCAACAGTTAAAGTAAGCCTGGGGCGCAACTCTGAACAGTAATATTAAAACTACTAGTGAAATAAGCCCTGGCTGGTGTGGCTCAGTGGACTGAGTGCCGGTCTGTGGAACCAAAGGGTCACTGGGTAGATTCCCAGTCAGGGCACATGCCTGGGTTGTGGGCCAGGTCCCCAGTGAGGAACGCATGAGAGGCAACCACACACTGATGTTTCTCTCCCCTCTCTCCCTCCTTTCCCCTCTGTCTAAAAGTAAATAAATAAAATCTTTAAAAAAAAACTACTAGTGAAATAAGACTAGTCTCAAATGTGATCAATGATTTATAAACTTTTCAAGATGGACACTTTATTATTTACTTATTAATACAACTTCATTGGCAATTGACTCTAGAGCAAATCTTTAATCTCCTGCACAGAGAACTCATCTTCCTCTTCCTCCACTCACCACACCACAATACTAATTAAAAATAAAGTACTTGAGCAGATGGCTATTCTTTATATATATAAGACTATAAAATTGTTTTGACTAATTATTTCAGCTGAATCAATGGTGGTTATTTCATAGATAAATTCATCGTGACACACACACAATATATATAAAAGCATATATCTGTATATGTGGTCAGTATCTTCCATGCAAGCCATTCCAATAAATATGCAGTGGTATCTCCTTGTGATTTTAGTTTGGATTGTACTCATCACTAATTATATGGACCATCTCTTCACTTGCTTACTCACCATCCATATATTTCCTTTGGTGAAGTTTCTCTTTAAATATTTTTAAATTTTATTTATTGGATTGTTTACTTATTGAATTTTGAGAGTTTTTTTATATGTTTAGCATATACATCACTTATCAGATATATGATTTGCAAATACCTTCTTCCAATCTATCAATTATCTTTTTATTCTTTCAACACTGTCTTTTGAAGAGCAGTTTTAAATTTTAATGAAATGTAATTCATTACTTTAAAAAATGTTATGGATCATGGTTTAGTTGTTGTATATGAGAAATCTTTGCTTACCTCGTTAGTGGTAATGTAAAATGGTACCATCATTTTGGAAAGCTAGCTTGACAATGTCTTAACAATTGAAATGCCCACTACCACATAATCCAGCCATTCCACTCTTAGGTGTTGTAGACCGCTCTGCCTGGTTTTAGGAATTGTATCTTGACCCCTTGTGGCTAACAATGAGGGACGACCTTTGGGAGTGCCAGCTGCAGGAGACAAAGCTTGTCTCTGGTAACAAATGCTGCCTCAGTTTCCTCTCCCTGCCTCCAAATCTTGGTCGGAAGTCAATGACAGGTAAGACCCCTCACAGTGGGGGGCAACCTAAGCCAGACTCGATCACTTGGGAGGCCTTTGTGGAGGGACTCGGGGGGCTGCAACAAAGAGCAATGGACACTCACCCCCTGGCTTTATCACAGCCTGAGTCCCCATGTTCTCTGGGAGAAGCACTTCCTGGCTCTAATCCCCTTAAACCTGAACACCTTTTGGGTGAGGCGCAGCTCCTTGTTTTGCTAGAGCATGTCCTGGGGAACAATCTGGCATCACAAATACTTGCTGATAAACCTGTGAAATCTGCTCTGCTAAGAGTGATTTCATTCATACGTTAAGGGTTCAAGCGGGGAAAACCCTAAAACTCTGTTCCTGACAGACTTGTACTCATAGAAGGCCCTCAGATATCTTTGAAATGTTATCTACTGTTTGATCCTTGCCGCCCTGTATTTCTGTGTATTACAACCCAATAAAAGGCTATGGAGCAGGGGGCTCCGGGCCTTTTCCTCCTTGGAGAAACTGGCCGCTGCTGGCCTTTGTCTCCCCTGAGAAACTGCCCACTTCTCCTCCCCAAGCAGATCACGTTAAGTCTCAGCCATAGTCACTCCTTTCCATGGCACTCGGGGGGACTTGCAAGAAAGTCGCCCCCACACTTAGGTGTTTACTTAAGAGAAATAAAAATATGTACTTTATTTATGTACTTTGTTTTCATGTATTTCTTCTTAGTTTTGATGCCATAGCAGCCATGGCTTGTCATATAAATCATTGGGCCCAGAGTAGAAACTCGGTAGATAAATGTGATTGACTGATTGCTGTGTTACACCTATGTCAGTACATTCTGAGAACCTGGCCTCATAAGTGAAGTTAGAAAGTCTTTGCTTTTTATAAAAAATGAACACTAACTTTGAAACAAAAGCAAGGTTACAGAAACCCAGAAAGTACAGTACAAGGAGAGGTGGCCAACCTGACATCCAATCACCTCGAAATATTCTTGTGTTGTCATTTCATCAAGACCTTCTTCTTTGTGATCACAATGAACCAGGAAAATTAGGAAATTGATGCTGATACAATCCTACCATTTAAACCTTAGACTCCATTCCAGTTTTGCCAATTATCTCAAAATTGTCTCGCAAAGGTTCCTGTTCAGAACCATGGGCTGTATTTTGTTTTCACCTCTTTTTGGTCTCTATGACACTTTGAAAGCTTACACTTCTATTAGTTAGCAAAGTGTCCATCAGTTTGAGTTTGTCAGCTGTTTCCTCATGATTCAGTTCAAGTTACACATCTTTGGGAGGAATATCACAGAAATGATGCAATGGTTTACTTATTGCATTCCATTGTATAGCTCATGATTTTAATAGTTACCAATATTAGCAACACAGACTTCAGTAACTTGATTAAAAGTGGTGTCTGCCGGGCTTCTGCACTGTAACATGACTCTTTTTCTCTTTTTAATAAGTGTATGTGGGGAAGTATTTTTAACTATGTAAGAATCCAGTTTGTCATGAGTTTTTTGTTACTTAAGGTCTATCACTGTGCACTCATGGTCTCCTATTTTATTCAATGTGTCAGAAAACATTCCTATCATTACTCTTCTGATGCTCAACTTGTCTCAAAGTTGTCCTCAGAACACCCTTCGAGCTGGCTTCTATGAATCCTTGACATATTCCTGTCATTCTTTGAGC